TACCCCACCCTGACACGTCGATTAGTGAATTGTCCGTTTTCGGTTCTCGAGAGGGCGCCGCGGCCGTCAATTTCCAGGCTTGCGCCCGCCAGGTTTGGGCCCGAGGCAGTTTTCACTAAACCACATTTTACTAAAGGGGGTTCTGTCCATCCCCGACCTGGCGAGGAGAGAGCGTGCGCACCCACCGATGACTGGCCCAGGGTGGGCCTGGCCAGGGTTTGGTTCTCGGCGGACAGCTGGCGCGGGCCGGAGAGGGGGGCCAGGCTGGGTCGCCTACCTCCCGTACATGTACTTGCGCAGCAGCGTGGTACGGGTGCGGTCCTTCTTCCGCGTAGACATAGCCATAGGCGGCGGCGCCTCCGTTCAGCCCTGGTGTCGTCTGAGGGGGGAGGAGACTGAGAGGGAGCATCACTGTGGTTTGTTGCTTGTGCATTTCGTTGGACCGAGCGAAGCTTCGGCCAGTGCGACGGGCCCATCCGAGCACAGCCGAGTGCGAACGCATCATGGAGTCCCCCCCAGACCAGTCCCACTCGATCCCGGTGCCAGAGCTACGGTGGGCTGCGCAGGGTCATGGGCCTTCGGCGAGGAGAGGAACTTCGCCTCCTTCGAATCACATGAAACGTCATAAACATAATCTTTCGGAGGCACGTGCGAATTTCTTGAATCGGCGATGGACCCCCTCAAGTCGACAACATAACTACAGTCAACCCGCATAGTGAGGATGGGCAATCTTCCAAGGGTACCCTTGCATCCTTGCCTCCTCGGTCAATCCTTGGCCAGTTTCGTCGGCCGCGCCCCGCTCGAAAAGCTTCGAAGTGGGCCTCCAGGGCCCTTGCATCCTTATCGCGCATCCTCATGATACTGGCCGACTGTATCTAGAGCCGGTGCAGGGAAGCCGCGCAGACCTCCGACGAGTGAGCGACGCAAAAAAAGACGGGGTCCTCTGCGCCGACATCGGCGCGTGAGCTGCCCGCGCAAGCTCGCGCGTCAGCGCCCTCGTCTGTAATGCAGGATGCCGTGCCGGCAGCCCGCGTAAGCCGCCGCGCAAGGTCGCTGTGCCATCTTGCGTAAGACCGTTTTTTGGGGGAGCGTAGGGAAAAGGGGGGGGGTAAAAAAGGGCATACAGAACCCTTGGGGATCCTTCGGGATCCCTGCGGAACCCTAGAGACTCCTCAGGGAACCCTAACGCATCCTCAGGGAACCCTGACGCATCCTTAGGGAACCCTAGGGAATCCTTAGGGAACCCTAGGGAATCTTCAAGGAACCCTTGGGAATCCTGCAATCCTCAAGGAACCCTACCGAATAAGAGGGGTGGAAAACAAAGGGGGTGGGACAAACAAAAAACAACTCGCTATGTCATCTTGCGTAAAACCTCTTTTTTTTTGGGGGGGGGTAGGGAAAAAGGGGGGGAGAAAAAGGGGGTGGGAACAAAGGGGGTGGAAAACAAAGGGGGTGGGACAAGCAAATAACAACTCGCAAGACGGGCTTTCGACCGTCGCGCAAGTGGTGTTCACGCAGCCGCTTCTTCTTCGGAGCCTGGCGCCTCCGGCGGGCCCCGGCGCTGGCTCGGCTCTCAGGAGAGGAAAAAACACACAGACACAATTAGTCGTCGACTCCCAGGAAAATATGGAAAAATATGGGAAGTGGGGGGAAGACAAAAACCCAGAACATACGAGAAAATATGGGACATCTTTTTTTATGTGTGTGTGTGTATTTGTGTGTCCTGGGGCCCCTTCAGACTCTCTGTCTCCGTCTTCGTCGCCGCCGCCGCCGCCGTGGCCGTCCCGCGCGGACCCCTGCCTGCCCGTGTTTTATGTTCATGCCTCGAGTCGGGCCTGTCCCTCTACAGGAGGAATATTCAAAAATACCTCAAATTAGTCTGGGGACGATTTTTCGAGTATTTTTGACCTTTCTCGTCTCGAATATGTTTGTAACTATTTTTTATTCTTCCTCCAGAGTCCGCCGGTAGGGGGACATGTCCGACATAGTTAGTTCATGCCTTCTCGCCCGACGCGGAACTCCTCCACGTCCGAGCGCCTTGGGCTCCCCCTCCAACCCGCGCTGCCGCCCTCGTCTTTCTCCCCCCCCTCTTGCACGCCGGCCAGTTACCCGTGTACCCGGCGGCTCCTCCGGCAGTGCTGGCCGCGGCGGCGGCGCTGCGGCAGCATGCGCGGTGTGGCGCGCTCCGCGGCCGCCCGCGCGCTCTGCCCCGCGTGCACGGCGGTGCGCGGCACAGGACCTGGCGCCCCTCCCAGCTGTGGGAGCCGTGTCCCGTTTCGTGATGGGGGGCCGCGCTTGCGCGCAGGAGGTCCGTGATGCGCGGCGAGTGTTCTTCTTGCTCCCCTTCCCCCTCGTTCCTTCCCTCCTTCTCTCCTTCCCTGTCCGTTTCCCTCTGTCAGGTTCTGCGGCCAGAGCTTCGCCCGCGTTCGCAGGGCATTCCTGCTACGTTGCCGGCAGCGTGGTCGGCGGAAGCGTGAAGTACATCGTCTTACGTCGGCGTTGCGGGGCAAGTTTTAGTGTCTAGAGATGCCCCCCTTCTTCCGTTCCCTCCCTTGCTTGTTTCAGCATGCGTTGGTTTCTTGTTCGTTGTGGTCTTCTAGCGTCAGTGTTTGTGATTGTGGGTGCAACGTGTGCCAGCAGCACGCCTCCCTCATTCGCTCCTGCTTCCTCCCCTCCGTCCCTTCCTCCCCTCTCAGTCTGGCTTCTTCGGCGTGGGGGCCACGCCGCGCTTGCCAGTAGCCGCCGCTACGGGCATTTCTCTGCGCCACGTTTTGCTGGCGTAGGACACACTGGACATATTGGCGCCTCAGAGCGAGTCGAGTCGAGTACTCCAGATTTCGTAATAAAGGGAGGGGGGTCTCATTTCGGGGGGGGGTCTCTTCCAGGCTATCTTGGAGGGCCTGGGGGGGTCTGGGGACGATGTTTTGGAGGGTTCTCCCACGAGGGGGGGTCTGAAATGGCTTGTCTTGGAGGGTCCAGACCCCCTCCCTTTTATTACGAAATCTGGAGCAGCCAGCCTCCCCTCCTCGTTTGGATTCCGAGGCGGGGTGCCCAAGCCGGTTGGACCGTCGAGCCACGCGGCTCGGCGAGGCGGAGGCGCTCCGGCTCATTCCACCTCCTCCCTCCTGTGGTGTTTTCTTCCTGCTCAGTCTGCGCTCTTGATTGCAGTGCAGTCGGCACGAGGTATAAGATCGAGGTCAGTTCGGGGAGGGTGCCCTAATTAGTGTCCTTCGTGCTTGCCGGAAGGTCTTGTGCATCTTGGGGAGGGTACCCTTGTATGCTCTGCTCGTTTTGGCCAATGTGAATTTTCGTTGGTTGTCCCGTCCTCAGGGGATGTCTAAGCACAGTCCGCCCCGTCAAATATCCCAGGCCAGAGTCAGTTGCTTGAGTTTGCCCATGGCAGGTCGATTCTAGCGACGTTCCCTGTTCGTCTGGCGTTGGTCGTCCTCGTTCTCATCTTCTTCTTCCTGTTCAGCAGTTTTTCGATTTATACAGTAGTTCATATCGCCTGATGCTTTGCTCCAGGGACCCGCGCTGCTCAGAGTGATTCCCGGGGATAGTTCTCACGCTGCGCCGCCGCCTCGTTGTAGTGTTATGTTACTTCGATAGTTATCGGTGGGGTCGTCGTTGAGAAAAGCAAAGGCAGAGAAGGATAATAGGGGGGAAAGGGAGGCGGGCCTTTGTGAGACCTCTGCGGGGCATCTTCAGGCTTCCAGGGGCCACCCGGCGACATGTTTGGGTTTTTTTGACTGATATTATGTCATCTGGGAGCCATGTTGGGGCCTCTGGGGCCCACTTTGGTGCCGCCCCGGGGTGCCTTAGAACCCTCTTCGAACACGCAGCGACAGCAAAACATCATTCAATAAAATGATGCAAGATCAAAGCCCCAATCATAACTTTCTGAGGCTATAGAGCTATTGGGCTATGGGGCTATAGGCCTAGTAGGGCTATAAGTTTATAAGGCTACAAGGCTACAAGGCTACAAGGCTATAGGGCTATAGCTATAGGGCTTTAGGGCTAGTAGGGCTAGTAGGGCTATAGGGCTGTAGTATAGGGCTATAGGGCTCTAGGGCTATAGAGCTATAAGGCTATAAGGCTGTAGGGCTATAGGGCTATATAGCTACCAGGCACGCGGGCTCCCGGGCACCAGGGCGTGCCGCCGAAATCGGTGCCACAGCTAACCTAACCATATGAATCCGTTAGGAGCCCTACAGAGGCAAGCTCTGCTTGGGGAAATTGCTCTTGTTCAATCATGGGGCCTGGTGGTCTGTTCTTGGGGCCCTCGTGGGCCGTTCTGGATGCACTCTTTTGGGCAGTCTCGGGCCGTCCTGGGCTCCTGGGTTCCTCTTTCCGGTGGCGTCACCATGGGAATATTGGGGCGCCCTTGCATTAAGCGGTCAAGGGGGCTGAAGAGTGTTTTTCCCAAAATCCAGTGGTGTTGGGTCTTCGTTTTGAAGAGACAGCGCCCCGCGTTCCTCCTCCTCCTCCTCCTCCTCCCGCTGCCCCCTCCCTCCTCCATCATCATCGTCATCACCCGTTTCAGCACACCACTCACACGTTTCGTGGCCCCATAGTGAACTCCACCCAAGGTCGCAGTGGCGCAGTCCGCATGGCGGCGTCGCCCCATTTTGAGCGGTCAAGGGTTCCGATGTCCCAACCTACTTTAGCCTTGATCACCAGAAAGAACGTCGAGCACCAAGAAGGTACCGAACCTTGAAGGTTTTCACGCGTCGGGCCCTGGGAGAGGCGGTGCTCGCTCGACGCTGCCTCGGCACTCTTCGGGGTGCCCGAAACTATTTCTGGGACGTGGTCCTGAAGTGCGATACGGCAGACAGAAGGACGTACACGTACATGAATCCACGCTGGTTTCGAGAGTACGCATTGCCCGAAAGTTCGTACCACGCGGCCGGTCTCGCGGATCGAGGGGCCGTGTTCATGTACACAGCTGGGCGCGTACGTCCTTTGTGGGCTCCCTACAAAGCGGCTGAGGAGTGGTCTTTGCTTGACGGCACGGCCCTGCCGGCAGGCGGCGCCACGGAGGCAGGACCGGAGGAGGCAGGGCAGGCGACGGGACGAGGGGCGGGAGGCATGGGGCATCCGCAGGGCAGCAGCCAGGCGGGGCACGTCACAGCCACTCGTGCCCCCAGGGATCGGAGGCGGCAAAGAGGGTGGTGATGACGAGGGGGTGGACATCATGGCGTGGGCCATGCTATCTCCGCAGATTTCATGGCGCCTCTTCTGCTTCATCACGTCCCTGGCCCCCCCCCCTGGGCCGCGCACGTGCCGCTGGCCATGATTTGCGCCCCCCCCCCCTCTTTGACGCCCCCCTCTTGGCCGCCCCCGAATG